GATTTTTAAAGAATTTATTTGTCTTGCACTGCTGAACATAAGTATTTGAACACCTGAGAAACAGCAATAAAATAGATCAACTGTTGGAGCAATTGTTAGGAAATGGAAGAGGCTAAAGACGACTGTCAGTCTCCCTTGGACTGGGGTACCATGCAAGATCTCACCTCGTGCGGTATCACTGATGATAAGAAAGGTGAAGAATCAGCCCAGAACTACAAGGGAGGAGCTGGTCAATGACATGAAGAGAGCTGGGACCACAGTTTCAAAGGTCACTGTCGGTAGAACACTACGCCGTCATGGTTTCAAATCATGCATTGCACGGAAGGTTCCCCTGCTCAAGTCATCACATGTCCAGGCCCGTCTGAAGTTTGCCAAAGACCATCTGGATGATCCAGAGGAGGCATGGGAGAAAGTCATGTGGTCAGATGAGACCAAAGTAGAACTTTTTGGTCTAAACTTCACTCGTCGTGTTTGGAGGAAAAAGAAGGATGAGTTGCATCCCAAGAACACCATCCCTACTGTGAAGCATGGGGGTGGTAACATCATGCTTTGGGGGTGCTTTTCTGCGAAGGGGACAGGACGTCTGCACTGTATTAAGGAGAGGATGAATGGGGCCATTTATTGTGAGATTTTGAGCAACAACCTCCTTCCCTCAGTCAGAGCATTGAAGATGGGTCGTGGCTGGGTCTTCCAACATGACAACGACCCGAAGCACACAGCCAGGGCAACTCAGGTGTGGCTCCGTAAGAAGCATATCAAGGTTCTGGAGTGGCCTAGCCAGTCTCCAGACCTCAATCCAATAGAACATCTTTGGAGGGAGCTTAAACTCCGCGTTGTTCAGCGACAGCCCCGAAACCTGACAGATCTAGAGGAGATCTGTGTGGAGGAGTGGGCCAAAATCCCTGTTGCAGTGTGTGCAAACCTGGTCAAGAACTACAGGAAACGTTTGACCTCTGTAATTACAAACAAAGGTTTCTGTACCAAATATTAACACGAATTTTCTCAGGTGTTCAAATACTTATGTTCAGCAGTGCAAGACAAATAAATTCTTTAAAAATCATACAATGTGATTTCCTGAATTTTTTTTTTTATTCTGTCTCTCAGAGTGGGAATGCACCTACAATGTGAATTTCAGACCCCTCCATGATTTCTAAGTGGGAGAACTTGCAAAATCACAGGGTGTTCAAATACTTCTGTTCCTCACTGTAAACACAGACACGAATGCACAGACACAATGTAAATAACCATTTTGTTTCCAGGCATACAAGCTTTGAGAAGGGGACTGGAAATATTCTCCACTTTCCTAAGAGAGGGGGAAAGTACTTTTTGATCATACTAAATCTGACATGTAACACAGGGGTGAGGGCTTTATTCTGGATGTCTGGCCAGAATTAGGGAGTGAAAAAATACAAGGAGGACAGGTCAGCCAAAGGGCGTTAGTCTATTCAACTGTTGAACTCACTGTGAAGACTGGGTCAAACATTCACACCAACACACAAAGGGTCTTTTGCAAGCATGGTGTTGTTATGCCACAAGGTTGTTCATCATGCAAACAGTACTTGTGAACACGCATAATCGTTAATAAAAGTTTCACATGCATACATCATCTTGTATAGCAAGTGTGATACATAACAAGGAGGCTGCATGGTTTGACCTGTCCTTGTGCCAAACACAGTGTTACTGCTTAGAGTCCACGCAGAAACTACTAAACCAAAACAAAACAAAAAACTCCTTAAACCAACATCTTACTGTTGTTTCAGTTCCACAGCAAACCACTTGTCAGCTGTGTGGCAGTGTGTATTTTGTTCTGTAATGTGAATCACAAGGGAAGTAACCTAGAGATTCCTCCTGGGTCTGTGTGCATGTGTGAGACTGAGTGAGTGAGAGAGAGAGCTCACATAGGAAGTCATTTGCTAGGTGCACCTCCTATGTTAACTGGCTATAATAAAATGAACTTGCACTATGTTCACATCAGTGAAGCAGGCAGACCTTTTCACATCTGCATGGCAACCAAAGAGGCTTGAAGCACTGCTGCCAGCATCTCCTATTTGCTGATTGCAGTGTGATACTTGACCTTTGGTAGATATCCACCATAAGAAAATTAATAACTGCTTCAATCTTTGCAATTACTCTGCCTTTTTTTTTTTTTTTACTTAAGGTAAACATGGCACATGCATTTATGGAAGTGAACTGGAAAATTCTCCTTGGAATTGTATTTCTCATAAACACAAGCACTGGATTATTATTAAAAATATGAGATGAAGACTGAGCAAAGGGCTTGTTATTACTATGTATTTCAAATAATACCTATTTTCGGACAAGGTAATAGTGAATCTATAAACTACCTAATTTAACAGGCTAAATAAATGGTGCACTTACATGCATTATGTCGGCTAATCTGACTATCTGATTGACAGCTTCAATAAATAATGAGTCCATTTTGTCCTGAAAGGTAAGTTATGTTGTTCTTGCACAATGCAAAGCAGTGACAGCCACGGTCCATGTTAAAAGAAACGCCTCTGCTTAAAATACAGCTTAGGGTCATTAAATATGGCGTAGTTTGAATGCAGCGAGTTGACGTGAGGGTAAAGGTAAGCTTATCTAGTGAGCGTCTGGGTCTCCGCCCCTCGGCGACCTCGAATTCCAGAGATTCCCACACGCTAAGCTCACCTGCCTTTCCCTTCACAACTCAGCAACACGCATTCAAAAGGGCAATATTAGAGAAAAGTGAGTTTATTTATTTATATTTTAGACAGGAAAACTAACGCCGGAACAGTTTCTGAACGTCATCCAGCTAAGTTCTCATCCCAGCGGCTGGAAAAGACATCGAAGACAGTGCGTGAAGATCCCTCATAGGTGTGCATTGTTCTCAGTCACATAAAACAAGATTTGCGTAGTATTAGATTCTCCCCGATGGGAAGAAGCCCAAAGAAGCGTGATTTGTTCTACACACACTCAGCTAACAGCTATCACTTTCTTTCCACAGTACAGTCAGGACTTTCTGAGTTCAACAAACAGTCCGCACTCTTCATGCCTTGCGCTTTCATTTTTTCCCCCACGTTTTCCCCAATTATTCTGCAGTTTGTGAAGGAGCAGGGAAAAAAGCAATTAAATACCTTAGGAGGACTGTTGTTTTTCTGGCTGGGCTGTGACTGGGATCTACATTGGAACATGTAAGTTCATCGGTAAAGTCCCGTCGTTTTAATCCCGTCCACGAGAAAGAGTGAAACTCGCCTCCATAGTAGACAAGAAGAAGACGACCCCTCCGCTGCTCCCTGCTTCCACCAGCAGTCCCAGGCAAATGCGAGCGTGCATGACGTCAGCGGGGATGTGGGAAAGCACTGCGCACTTCTGATTGGTTGCGACATGAGTAAGAGGCGTTACTGAGGAGGATCGTATTGTTGAAATAACCAATGAGCGAAGAGATAATGGTTCCCTTGGATACATATTTTGTCAACCCAACGCTCTACAAAAGAAGGATAGCAAAAGGTAAGTCAGGGTTTAATAGGTAGCTTAAATGTTCTTTGTGGTCGCATAGCAAAGCCAATGCTAGTTGTGTGTGTTTCATTTAATTATTTTACGAGGCTCTATTGAATGTACTAGTGTTTCTGTTCACTTTGTTATATTTTCTTTTGTTTGACTTCATAACCTAGCTAAGAGACGAGAAAATAAAACAACTGCACCTCCATAACACCTTTCTAGTCTCCCCACCTTTTTGTTGGTTAGGGCCAGTTTTATTGGCGAACTGTGGTAGGCCTGCCAGTACCATTAACTGTTATTTTTGATGATCAATTAAGTAAAAGTCGAAAATGCCTACCCTCATTTTGTTGTCAGAATATCGTATCCAAAGGCACGATATTCTGACAACAAAATGAGGGTAGGAAGTATCCAAAGGTAGTAAGTTAGCCACAAATATGGTAGATAAGCTAAAATCAATAGTTCTGGCCATTTCTGCCCAATAGTGACTGAAAACCCGTTGCTTTTTTTCTTTTTATTGACCGACTAATCCATTCATTGACTAGTGGTTTCTACTCTAATTTCTAGCTTGCATTGGAAAAAACAGGCAAATAGTGTATGCTACATGTCCTCAGGTATGAATAGTCATCCTATGAAAATCAGCAGCTAATGTTAGGCTTCATTTATTTCCTGAATCCTGACTTTATAGATCATCATCTGATGTTCATATATGAAAAATAAAAATCTTGTTCGGCTATTCATAGACGAAACACTGATGCTGGTGACATGAGCAAAAATCCTCAAAGGGTTAGTTTTCATTTCCTTCAAAAATTAAATATCCTCCTGCATATGTCACACCCAAGCCTTCACAGTCTTGACTGACAGTGCCTGTGTGGTCACAATTTTTCTAAACCGACTCCAGAACAAAGACACAGTGATGTTCCAGTGGTATATTAGATAACACCAGATGCACCATCTGTCCCCTCCCGCATCCTTAAACTTGTGAGAGTCAACTGATATTCTAGCAATGTCAGATCAGATCTTGATGACAAAGTTTGATTGATCTTTGATGGGCTGTAGTCTTCTGTTAACCTTCCGAGTGACCCCAGGTACCTGTGCAGGTGAATATTGCCTTTCATCACACTTTGCAAAGGCTTTTTTTTTTTTACATGCAATGATTTAATTTCTTTATTTTTGTCTCTACAGTGATGAATGCAATGGATCTGAATACATTTATCACAAACTACAGAGCAGAAGATGTGGGTAAGTCAGCAGAAATTGGCTCTGAAACATTGCTGACTTGTGAAATAGTGATCCATTGATCTGTTTAACAGATTTGACCTGAAGGCCCCGTGTTGAATTCTCCTGGCACTGTCAAGTCTTTGATGCTTTTGTCAGACCATTGCTCGTGTTTACTCACCTGCCTCTTTGAGTCACAGCTGAACTACTCAAAAACTGTCTGACACCGTCAATTTTCTCTCTGTTACTCCCCAACCATGTAACCCTATACACCCCCTACGCCCCATGCAGCAATTTCTAAATTATCCATACAATCCATTAGCATTTACTTCTGTTTCCTTTTTTGCTGAAGTAAGCATAAAGACTTTATTTCAGACATCAAACATGATGAGATTTTCAACAGTTCCAGCGATTTGTTCTTATTTCTTTCATCCTTGCAGAAAAATTGACACTGCGAATGAAAAATGGTCTTAGCAGCTCAAAGTACAAGCCAGCTGAGTATGAAAGACTGCAAGCCATTGTTGATGCCAAGCGCCTGGAGTCTGAACTAATTGGGCAAAAGGTAAATTTTTATCAATATCATGCCTGTACTTAAAACAGCAGCGCTATTACAAAATCAATTCCTGTTACATTTAACAACATAGTGATTCAACAGAAAATGAAAAAGAATGTACAATAACAGTGTTATAGAAAATGTTTTTCCACAGTCCTCATTACCCACCGCAGGAAGAGCGACAAATACCCGATTTTAATGTGAGGTGATAAAGCAGCATGTGTCCAATAGTTGTAAAAGGCACCATTTCCTTCTATTTGCCTTTCTCTAGTCTCTCTTACACACAGCACACTTTAAAGGGATTTCATGTCATACAAGACAGGCATTGTATAACCTTTATAGTTTGTCCAACAGCTTCAAACTGACCAATAATATCCCTGCCACAATAGCACAACGCAGTAGCATTGTTGGTTTCACGAATATTCATTTGGCTGCCTAAGGTTTCCTATAAATCTGTTTGAAGTTCATAGCCATCTGACTCTCAGCAGAGTAAAAAGTTAGTGCTGGGGGCAATGGAGATTAGGCTTTTAGACCTGCAGTGTTTTAGTAGCTAAGCTATGGCAGAAGCCTTTTAGTTTCATTGTGGTTGCCCATGGCTCTGTCCAACCCTGCTCTCTATGTAACCTAGATAAGACAGACTGTGTTCACATTCAGTCACCCTGCTGAAATGTAGTGCAGACTTTCTGAGCATCTCCCATTGGTGAAGTGATAGAAGGTAAATAAATGACCAGGAACCACCTCAAGTGCCGGGTCATTTTTGTTCTTCAGAAAGGGACTGGGAGCAATAGTAGATATTAAAACAGAATTGTGCAAAAAGCAATCAGTCAATCAATAAAAAATCAGAGAGATACAAACACTGAAACATTAAACTTAGTGGCCAATAAGTGGAAACACCTCTGTGGGTGGGTGTACATGGTCCAAGATGAAAGGCAGTTTATAAGTACTGCCCTATAAATATTGTACAAGAAAAACCCATTTCCCATTTTGCTTTAAGTGATTATCCCACCGTTGAGTTAACAACAGAGCCAAGCCTTTTAAGCCAAGATGCCAGCTGTGGAAAAGGTCGATGGCAAGTGATAAATGTATAGGATGCAGTGCAATGTGATACTGTGCAGTGATAGTCGTATATTATCTCCATAGTCAAATACAGACAGTAGTAGACCATATTTTTGGTAATAAGAATTCATTTATGACTTTAACTCAGGTGGATAGCTAGAAAATAAAGTATGTTGTCCAGCCAAATTTCCAAATGTTTATCAATTTCCACATTTTAATTTTGTGAGTCGGTGTAGTGTTATATCAGGTAGTGAAAAATACCACCCCTTTTATTTATTAATGTCAGTATTATGACTGACTTTAGAGAAATCATTTTTACATTTTGCATTGTTTTCACTATCACGTGAAGTGGCAAAGATGTGAATCAAGACATACGCTTTTTTCTACAAACCAGTCTGACACTTGGTACTTTGCTCATTTAATTGTTGAATTGTGTTTTCATGATGAAACAGGAGTGGGAATCTGACTGAATACTCTGCAGTTTAATGGGTAATATCAGATTGATAAGAGTAGATATTAATGGATTTGGTTTATTTGTCATTATTTTGATTAATTATGCATAAATATAATGAAATATGGGATGTTTAAATGAAGGAATAGTTATTGCTGTAGTTGTGATGATGAATTATTGGAATGATGGAGGTAGACACTTCCTTTGTGATAATCTGCAATCAGTTGATTGTGTCAGTAATTGGAACAGCTGGTATATAATAGCTCTGAGCTGCAAGGGAGACTGTTCTTTTGGTTTGTAGGTGCTCGGTTTCTGACCCCTGTTTTCTGTGTTGTAGTAAATTAACTTCTTTTTTTTTTTTTTTTTTACTTCAATGTCAACTTCTCTGTACACACCCTTCAGCAAGAATCATGTTGATTTTCTGTGGACCAGAAGGAAAATGTGTGCTAATTAAAATAAGATTTTAAAAAAGGGAAATGAATATGATTAAATCCGAAATCAGTAGATTCAGTGAAGTTCGTTGAGCACGCCAGCCAGGGTGCACAGCAAAAGGGCAACAAGAGAGCAAATGCGATGATAGGAAATGTCTCTTATAATCACAGTGAGACTAGTCAGCAGAAGTGTAGGTTTGTTTCCAGGAAGACCCATGGGATGACATTAGTTTGAACTTTTTCTTTCACTGTAGCGCTACTTTTAGAATGAGCACTGTAGATTTCAATTTCTATTAATATGAAATTGATTATACCCATGTATTACTTATATGAGGTTTTCTGTACAGTTCTCTGAACCAGTGGTCTGTGTATAAAAACACTGATAGCAAACAATGAATCGCTACAGTGAGTGCTCTAAAGGAAGGCCTTGTTCTTTCATGATTAAAACAAATGAGAGTAGATTAAGAACTCTGCTTAATCTCCTACTAACACACGTGTGTCATAAATGTTTCTACTTGATTGTTTTAATTAACCACTGTTTAGTTTACTTTCATGCTTGAACATTGATACTGATTCAGTTGAATTGAGGAGCCTCTCACAGACACAATAAAGACTGAAACAAATTCCCCCTATAAAAATGTGATGAGAGGAAGGGAAGAAAACACACTTTTAACTATAAGAAGACTGTATTTCTTTTTTCACCATACTGATAATATTATGATTTATTCAGTTTATTATGCTTTTTGTATTTTAAAAATGGCCCAGATAATTGATGCATTAAAGCACTCCACATACGGTTTTGTCCAGATAAAGTTAAAGTTAATTATAGGAGCAAGTAAATGTCATGGTTAAAGTGCAGTGATTTTGTATTATATTTTTTCAGAGCATATTCCAGTTTCTAAAAAAAAAACAACTGTTCTTATAGGTTCAGAAGACTCGCTGTGCAGCCAAGGCAACCAAGGAGAGGTCCATATTACGGCAGCACAGACAGGTGTGGAGCAGAGAGTGCCCCAGGCTGCAAAAGGCTGAGTAAGAGCCCCCTATTACTCCCTGTCATTATCTGCTGCAGTTTTCTGAATCTCCTATTAAACCAGGCAAACATTCCACTTATGCCCCATTGAGTCTGTGCAGGAACCTGCATTACAAAATAGGTCATAAAGAGAGGTGCAAAAGAAAACAGAAAAATGTGTCATGGAGGAAACAAGAAGAGAAGGAAGACTTTGGGGAGAGAAACAAAGACAAGTTTTGGGGGGGTAGCTGTGTGGTGACAGGGGGTTGTGTACTGAATGAAGGAACATTCTTCCTCTGCATGCTGAGGCAGAAGTGTGGGACTGGAGCCCTGGTGGTGTCATGCCTTGTGAAGTGAGAAGGGCATCGCTAGCTCTGGGGTGCAGCTTGTTTGGCTGTGTAATGACTGTGTCTGAGCCACCCAAGGTTAATGATGTACACAAGCGTGTGCCTCAGTAATGAGCTTAGTCATAAAGTTGTGCCTCTGCTTGCAATTCTCTACACATACTGTATATATCTAGTTAAATTACCCTGAGATTCAAAAGCCACCTTGTCAAATGGACAAGCAAGCATATCACTATGGTTACTCTACCTTTATTCATGATTATGTCAGCCCCTGAGCCAGTTTGTAAGAAGTAAACAATTACTGTAGCACCCTCTGTAGGCCTGTTAGTGTGACGCTGCCTACAGTAATGACATCACATCCGCAAAGCTTGTATCAAAGTTTTGGGAAAATTCCTGTTGAGTCTGAGATAGTGTGTTTGTGTGTGTCTGTGTGTGATAATTCAGATGGAGTAATAGCCCTGATCCCCAGCCCACTGCCATACCTCAAAAATTAATTATAGCAGTGGCAGTATGCAATGGTGGGAAGTAACTAAGTACATTTACCCAAGTACTGTACTTCAAGACAGTTTTGAACAGAGGTGGAAAGTAACTACACTGTCATTACATTTACTCAAGTACTGTAATTAAGTGCAATTCTGAGGTATTTGTACTTTACTCATTTAAATATTTTTTTTGCTACTTCATACTTCAACTTCACTACATTTTAGTGCTTTAAATTTGTTTTGATGCTGTTACTTTAATTTACTTAAGTAAAAATCTGAATGAAAGAGTTTTACTTCTAGAGGGCACCTTCCATCAGTAGCTGTAAGAGGGTGTTTGGTAAACTCAATACTGGTGTTTTACTGTCTTGGCAGTCTGATCAAGTTATAGTATTTGATGGTGCTCTGGTGGGGAGCAGACACACATTAGGTAGTTTGCTCAGGAAAAAAAACAACCCATATCCATGTAGGTTAAGAAGGCCAGAATTTTTAAGTTCTTTAATGTTCCGGTAGGCATAGTTGTGGCCATGATATGCAGCAGCCATTTGAACTGTCAATATCTTGCTGTTTTTTTTTTTTGGGATGTCTAATGTTGTAAATTGCCAGTTGTCTTAACTAATTTAAGGTGGTTGTATATAACACGACTTTCCTGTTTTCTCTTAATAACAGGGAGAAGGCTGAGAATGATATCCATGATAGTCTAGACCAGATGAGGCCGAATGATATAACAGACAGTGCCATTTTCTCACTTCAAGATTATGGTAAACTATGCCAACAGATTTTAAGCAACTGCATTTCACCATCCCTGTCTTTGTTGTTTTTAGTACAGTACCAATATTGGTCCTTGTGTATTTTAGAGCTGTTCTTAGAGCGGGAGCGGGAGACATTCAGGATGGCCACTGTGGAGCCTGTCAGTCAGCTCAGGGATGACCTTTGCTTCAGACTGGGTGAAATACAACAACACCAGATCACTGCCCAGCCAACAAATTGGGAACAAGTAATACAACAGGTGTCTGTGTTTATATTCACTGACATGGACAAACAAAGTAGAAAGCTAACAGAATGGCAGGATTTTCAAATATACTGTATCTCTGAGCAAATGGCTGTATATATCGCAATCTTTAACTGAAGTTGGTTCAAAAAATGAAATTATATTCTGTGCATTTTGTATCTCATGTTCTTGACTGTTAGCAAACCATTCGGTACAATACAGTCCCATCACTCTCAAAGTCTTTGTCAATGATTGATCATTGTGCTCACTCTCTGTGGGCATCAAACTACAACAGTCTGTCCTGCACATGCTTCTTCACATAGCAATTTCAGTCTTGTTTGTTTGATATCTACAGTCCCTAAGTCACCAGTTCTGCTTTTGACTTTCAAAGGCTTTTTATAAGCTCTGGAAATGAGTGGTAAGATTAAGAAGTAAGCAGGGGTCTTTAAAAACAGACCGTACTTGGAATGAATTCTCTTCCAGCCATTTTGTCCTCTCTGTGTGGCTCACTCGTGCTTGTTTCTTTCCCATGACCTGCTCTAATCTTGCTGGCCCACAGCCTCTGTTCAACTGATTGCATAGACACAACAGAACAATCTCCCACCACACACACAGCCCTGTTTGCCTTTTCTTTTTTTCATGTCTTTTGCCCATTTTTTTCAAGTTCTTATTTCAGCACTTTGCTTTACTTTCTTACTCACAACAGATTAGAGAGTGAGTCTTTTCAGGTGCTGTATAATTACACTTAGTGTATTTATATACACTATATTTTTATAGCTACTGTATATACTTCTTCTAATGTGCTGTCTGTGCACAAATTCTATAAATCTGAAATGCTGATGCTTTTTTCCTGCTTCCTTTCACATTATTTGAATGTTTACAACATGTTAAATTTGCATTACCTGGCTGAACTCTGTAGACACGGTTGGACCAAAAGGGTGACTGGTGGGCATGGGATCACACTGTGAAGGCCAAGTACAGGATGCTGGGAAACTGGGAAATTGAGATAGATGTGTTCAGTGAGAGTGTTGGCCCAAAAACTGTGAAGCCATAAAAGACAGAGGAGTCATTACATTTCACTTAAGACTTAAACGAATTGATTTCTTTTGCTGCACTAGTGGTTTCCATAGTTCACAACCAAATCTAAGTTCACATAGTGGGAAGCTAGTTGTTTTTTTCTTTCCACCATTCTTTTACAGTCCCAACCTTTATGGTTTTCTTTAACTATATAGATGGGTGACAAAGTAAAAGAAAAAACCAACATAAAGAGTATCAGTAAGGTGCTGGACCACAATGTGCCACCACAACAGCTTCAGTGCACCTTGGAATTGATTCTCCATGTATCTGAACTCTACTGGAGGGATGAGCAACATGGTTCCAAATGATATTCCCCCATTTGGCATTTTGATGATGGTGGTGGAGACGCTGTCTAACACATCACTCCAACACTTCCCATAGGTTCACCTGGGTTGAGATGTGGTGACTGTGAAGGCCATAGCATATGAGTCACATCATTTTCATACTCATCAAACCATTCAATGACACCCCCACCCCCATGCCCTATGGATGGGGGCACTATCATTCTGGAAGAAACCATTCATTTATTTAGGATTTTCCTTAAGAGTTCACCTGTCTTTATCTTATAACTATTTTACTAAAGTGTATTTGCATAAACATAAACAGCTATTGTAATTTCAATTCCTGTGTTCCTTCCTGGAAACTGAGTAACAGACCCAATTAATTGATAAGTAGTCTCAATTTTTAAGAAGCT